TGTGGTCGTAGTTCTGTGCAATACCTCACCAAAGGGCGTTGCTCTCGTCTCTCTGATACTTTGTGCCCTTTGACTGGCATGTCTGTCTTGGTTTGTTTCTGGCTAGTCTACTACCCAAGTCCCAACTGTTGGTAACCACCACTCTACTCTCTATTTCTAGGAGTTTGACATATGGTGGCATGGCGCTTTGTTTTATGTCACAAGCAGGGGCAGGGAAACATGGCAAATATTTGAACAACCGAGTGCTACAAGTTTGCCTGACCAGCCAAAAGTGTCAAACATTTGTACAAATACAGAGACTGTGGTTTTTAGTGTGTGTGGGGCGGGCGGGGGGAGGGATGGCTTGTTCTTATGTTTGGGTTTTCTACCTTTAAGATCTTTTCAATCATTTTATATATGACTCCACAAATGTTTGGGGTGTCTGCCGAGGCCGAGGCATCAGCCTGTACTTGGACAGTTGAAGACATTTTTCTGCCCTAAATTTACACAAATTAGAAATGAATGGCAGTTGCCTTATCGGAGCAGAGCAATATAAAGGATGGCCACGGAATGTCATTGATTGCCTCCCTAACACGACTCCTTGCATCTTCCCAGTGGGTCCACTGTTACTGAAAGACCCATATTTGGGAAAGGCCAAGTGTACCTTGACTAGAAGATAGGTTGAGTGTGTTCATGCAGCAGGTTCCTCTATCACTGTGCATTCAAAGGAAGCCATGTAACTTACGCTGGACCTACCAGGATCAACTGAGATGGAGATGTATCCTTCTTTGGTGTGAGGAAGACACTTGTAATCCTAGGGCCTGTAGGTCACGGCTGTTACACACCCATGATAAGGCTTGACATTGAGATGGAAAAAAATCAGGTTTCTGGTGACATCACTCATTTCCTGTACCGCACCTTGCCCGAAGCCCAGACCTCTTTTAAATTTTTCTGAACATCTGGCTTCCCTTGCTACTTAAGATAGCTCGATTTAGATCTTCTTTGACTTAGGACTAAAGATCCCTTCCTGATCCATCAGAATGGTGGTTATTTCTGGGTGGTGAGATGATGTGGTCCAGTTGATGCTTATTTAATTATATTTGCTAAGTAATAAATGGTTTGGATTGTATTTGGAATGAAAGACAACAGGAGAGTCTGTAGACTTGTAAGTACAGCATCCACAGCACTCATCTCGGAAGGCAGATGTTTGTAACCGGGCCTGGACCAGGCAAGATACACAGCCTGGTGACATGTCCCTGATGACACCTGGCACTGCTGTTTGCATTATCTTCCTGAGGGTCATTCTCCAGGTCTGTAAGCTTACTTCTTAAACCGTTTTGTAAATTGATGCGCTCTTACCTAGCTGCCTTCTTGAGGGTAGGGGACCCCACCTTGGGGCTGCCACACCCTTTATCACCATTGCTCTGCTGAACCTCAGCAGTGGAGGTCTCATTGTTTTGCTCTCAGTGTGGGACTCTGCCCTCCTATGACTTATTAAATAAAAACACAGTCCATGTTAAATGAGTAAATATGTAACGTTTTAAATGTAACAAATCAGAAGAATGCAATAAAAAAGAAGGACCCATCAGCGAGTGGCTAATGAACGAACCTTGCCCGAACCGTGATTTCACAACCTGTAAAACACAACCACTAAAGGAAACCAACTCTGGACTGGGGCTGCCCCTGTAAGTAGACTCCCTTCTTAAAGAGCAGTAACACAGCTGAGCAGGTAAACACACGGGAAGGTCAAACTTGGAAGTATATTTAGTAACAAATAGATGGGCATCAGCCAACCGCACCAGCCAGGTTTCAGCCAGTCACAGGCTATGGGCTGATCGGGCCATGCCCACAGGAGCAGTGCCAGGCCCCAGACAACGCAGAGTTTCTGGACTTCATTCTGCTCTCTCTCTCTCTCTCTCTCTCTCTCTCTCTCTCTCTCTCTCTCTGTGTGTGTGTGTGTGTGTGTGTGTGTGTAATCGTCCCCTGCCCCGTCCTGTTGGGCAGAGTTCTCCTGGACCTTTTTTTTTTTGGCTCTGGGTGCCGCTCAACTTACAAATCGTTCTTTATTTGTGCAAACTCACATTCAATTTGTCTGAAGTGTGTGTGTGTGTGTGTGTGAGAGAGAGAGAGAGAGAGAGAGAGAGAGAGAGAGGGAGAGAGAGAGAGAGAGAGAGAGGTTGAGTCATTTGGAAATTTTAGTACTAGACACCATCTTGGAAACATTAAAGCCTAGTTATTGCTGTTTTTATATAATAGTGGTATGGTTTTCATGTTTTTAAACTGTCCTCCTCTTTCAGCGATACGTATTTGTGTGTTAATTTCGACTGTCTACTTGACAGGATTCAGAACCACCATGGAAACAGACCACTGGGCGTGTCTGTGAGGGAGTTTCTAGAGGAGGTTAGTGAGGTGGGAAGATGCACTGTGGACTGGATTCTTGGACTGAATGAAGAGGAGAGGGGCTGGCAGCAGCACCTGGCTGTCTTGGCTGTCCAGCTCCTGCCTCAAGTTCCCCTGGAATGATAGACCACACCTTGGGACTGTTAGCCAAAAACAAGCCTTTCCTTTGAATGGCTTCTGTCAGGGGCTCTGTTGCAGCAATGAAGGGAAATCAGCATGAGGATCTCCTCTTGGATTTGATGCGACACCGTGGATTCACAGTGATTGCAGAGATGAAATTGTCTCTGACTGATAACAGCTGAACATAAGCAGTAACTGTGGACTTTCCAACTCCCAGAACTACAGGAAATCCTATCCTAACATGAATTTAAAGAAAAATTAAAAACTCCCCTTACCTTCCTGTGGAAGTCATGATAAATAATCCGATAAACGTGTCCAGAAAGAAAAAAAAATCTGTATAAATTGCAGAGAGCATTGGAACAGTGAAAAGCCTTGGTTTATTTCACTAAATGCACTGACTGCTCACATTGTAACTTTCTTTACAGGGGTGGGGTGCTCTTTATACCGTAGACGCTTTTCCATTGAATTTGATTTTGGAGCAATTGATAGATTTTTTTTTCCTCCCACGAAGAACAGAATCTCTTGCTCCTGTAATAATCTAACTTCTGTACTGCTTAGGCTCTTGTGCCAAATGCCTGCATTGGAAACCTGGCCCTTCTGGGTTTGGGCCAGATCATTAATTCTAAGTCTTGGTGTGGCCTGCTCATATAACTGCAGTTCTTCCTCAGCCTATGGTCATCTCCCTGTGTGAAACATCCACTCTTGATCTTTTGTCTTTGTGTGTGTGTGGGGGGGGGCAGAGATAGGCACATACATGCATGTGTGTGCACATTTGTGTTCATGTATGTGTGTGGTGCGTGTGCAGAACCGGAGATCAGTGTTCCATGTCTTACTCTACTGCTCTCTACTTTAACTTGGAGACAAAAACTCTCACTGAACCTGAAGCTATTGGCTGAAGTGGCTGGCCAACAAGACCCCTGGGACCCACCTAGATCCACTTCCCCAGCACAGAAATTAGAGGAGCGCGCCACTGTGCCTGGGTTTTTTATGTAGATGTTGGGGGATTGAACTCAGGTCTTTGTGTGCCTGTCACACACTTTACTCACTGAGCCCATCACAGGTTGGGTGATTGATTGATTGATTGACTGATTGATTTTATGTTTGGTTTTTTGAGACAGAATTTCTCTATATAACTTTGGAGCCTGTCCTGGATTTCACTCTGTAGACCAGGCTGGCCTTGAACTCACAGAGATCCACCTGGCTCGCCCCCCCCCAAGTGCTGGGATTAAAGATGTGTGTCACCACTGCCTGGCTGGGTAGTTTATTCTTAAAAAATTGTTCCTTGGCTGGGCAGTGGTGGCTCATGCCTTTAATCCCAGCACTCGAGAGGCAGAGGCAGGCGGATCTCTGTGAGTTCGAGGCCAGCCTGCTCTCCAAAGTGAGTTCCAGGAAAGGTGCAAAGCTACACAGAGAAACCCTGTCTCGAAAAACTAAAAATTAAATAAATAAATAAATAAATAAATAAATAAATAAATAAATAAATAAATAAATAAAATGGTTTCTTATGGTTCTGCAGGTTGCAGTATCCAAAGTTGGGGTGGGGGGCACATTCAGTGAGAGCTCTCTTGCTGATGGGGCCCCTGCAGTGCCCTAATGCTATGGTGAGCTAGAGTAAGCAACTCCCAGGAAGCCATGAATCCACCTGTGGATTTCTCCATTTGTGAGGACAGATCCTCACGACCCAGTCTCCTCTTCGCAGACCTAACTCCTAATGCTTCAAGTTGAGTACTAAGTTTCAATGTGATGTCTTTGTAGGGACATTCAGACGACATGGCAGATGGTAACCTCCTCCTGAGGACCTCACCCTCAGACTGCCGTGGTACAACCTGCATCCCCCTTGTAGGCCGTTTAGGGGTCAAACGTTTATGAAACTAGAAAAGGCATCAGATTCTTACTGCTTTTCGTGATCTTTATAGAATGCCCGTTCTTAGTGACTAGATACAGTATGTTAGGAGAAAACCTGTGAGGGAGTTTTGTTTTGTTTTAGATGGGGTGGGTATGACCAGCCCGAGCTCCACGGTGGAGCTTTCTCTTTTCATGATGACATAATTTAATATCAGTGTATCTTTCAATGTCTATCACCAGTCATTTCCTTTTTATCCACATGGGAAAAAGAAAGGACATCTTAGTTTAGAATCCCCTTTCTTCTCCTTTAATCATAAGGAACACAACGACACCATACATTCTATGACTTATTGTCAAAGTGTTTTCAAACATTACCATTTTTACTTCATCTTCTTACCTAATACTTCTGCCCCATCTGCCCGGGGCCTGGCTTTGTACCAGGGTGGTTGGGATCCAGGAATACAAAAGATCAGTTTTCAGCGTTGCGCTGGTGGAAACAGAGGCCGGACATGGAAGAAGGATGGATTTATGGTTAGCACAGTAAGCATTTGTTAAATGGGCCTGCTCTGTGTATAGATCCATGATGATGGGAACCGTGCACTGATGAATTGCCATGTGTTGAGTGCCTGCCTGAAAGTTTTATCAATTGCTCCATTTATTATTCTAAATGAACTTATGGAATGTGTGTTCCTTTTCTAGAAGGAAATAATGCACAGAGAGGTTAAGTTATTTGTTCAAAATCATATAATTTGACAATGGAGTTAGGCATAGGTCACAACTCTAAAATCTGTGTTCATGGAATCATTACTAAGGAATCTGCTGGCTCTTTGATGTTGTATCAATGGCTTCCAGTTTAAAGAAAACCATAGAAGGTTGATTATTCACTGTCAACTTCCCTGGCTGTGAAACATGTTGACGTTCCTAACACATGCAATGATATTGTAGCTGGTTACCTCTCTCTATGTAGCTTCTGTGGCAAATACCTTTTTCGTTTTGTTTTGTTTTTGTTTTTAGACAAGTTTTCTCTGTGTAGCCCTGGCTGTCCTGGAACTCGCTCTGTAGACCAGGCTGGCCTCGAACTCACAGAGATCCACCTGCCTCTGCCTCCCGAGTGCAGGGATTAAAGGTGTGCACCAGCACCACCTAGCTTATGGCAAACATCTTAGCTGAGCTGATTTAAAAATAGTGGAAATGTGTCTCCTATGCTTCTGGAGGCCGGGAAGTCTAAGATCAAGTTACGGGCTGACTTGGAGTCTGACCTTTCTTACAGCATCCCCACATGGCCATGGTGGAGGTCAGCACAAAAGGCAGGACAAGGCCCAGGGTCTTCCTGCAGCCTGGTGTACCGGGCACTGATCCCCTCCACAAGGGTCTAGTCCTGTTTATAAATCACTTCCTCGAGGATTGCCCTGCTAAGGATTAAATTGCAATATGAACTTTGGAGCGTCATGGGCATTTAAACCATAGCAGAATCAGAACTAATTTCTAAACTTAAAGAAAACTGATCAATGTATTGTATGTTAACTTTCTGGGATGAAGTTCACCCTAGTGGGTCCAGAGCCCTGCAGAATGAGGCTGTCACTTGCAGAGTTCATTCATGGTGAAAATAAAGCTGCGGGGCTGTTGGGTTAATTTTAGCTATCCACTGTGTAGTGTAATGTTAAGAGTTTGTTTCTTCAATGTGCCTCTGTGATTCACATACATGTATGTGCATGCGTACACACTCTGCCTAAAGACGAAAGCTGCAATCCTTTGCTAGTTTTCTGTAACGTGCTTTCACTGGTTCTGAACTCTCTCAGCTAGGAGGCAGTTAGGAACCACATGTTACTGCAAGCCAGGGACCGCTCAGCTCAGACTCCCAGCCTATCCCAGCCGGTTCCTCACCAGGGTGCCGAAGGCTGCCATGGCCTCAGCTGTGTCAAGCTCTGTATTAAACAGCTCCCCCTCTCCCATCCAGCACACCATTTCAAACCATTCTGACTCGCTTAAAGAAGTCTCTGGACAGGTGGGTGCTGGACCCTGTTGTGGCTTTCCATCATGTTCTCTGGGAGGTGTCTCGTGGAGCAGGGCAAGAATGTTTTTCCCTAGTTGTTAAGACACAATGCATCACTCTTTGGGGGCTTGCTTCCCAGTCTGCCCAAACTTAGAGGCCCTTAGCAAGATTGTTTAATCTGGAACCATCCATATAATTTGTTTGTTTGTTTGTTTATTTGTTTTGAGACCGTGTCTCTCTACGTGGCCCTGGCAATCCTAAAACTTAATATAAAGACCAGGCCGGCCTCGAACTCACAGAAAACCACCTGCCTCTGCCTCCCATGCCCAGTCACAATCTATAAATTTTAAATCCCTCCAAATGAAGAGAACCACACATTCCTCTCAACTATAAGAATAATGAAGTCTAGTTCATTTTGAATATATTTAAATTGGAGAGCCCACAGGTTTTCATATTGGATTCTTTTAAATATTTAAATTAGTACGCTCTGTCTTTTGGGTAGCTGCCACAAAGACAGGTTGTTCATTTCAGCCAGTGCTTGCTAAGCATTGCCTGGAGAAGGTAGGCCTTCCTTGGGAGAGATCAGAACACTCCAAAGCTTCAGCCACCATTAGAACGGCCTATCTGGGAGATCTCTCAGGCGCCACCTCTTCTGTTCAACTGTTTTTGGTATCAGTACTTTTTAGGAAACTCTGATACCATCTATCTTCTTTGCTGGGGTGGGTGGGCTCGTGAGAAGTCTGAGGCCCAGAAAGATAAAACCTACAGACCCTGGATGTTCACTGGGGAATGCATCAAAATCAGACCTGTGTTCTCTGGTAGAAATAAGCACAACCTTGCCAGCTCGCTCCCTGCAGACCCCCACACATACAGGTCAGTTTCAGAAGGTTGCCTCATGATTACTCATAACCTATAAAAGAGGTACCTGGGCGGTGCAGGGGGATGCCTTTCCAAGGTTGGGATCAAATGTCTTCTGAAAGACAGCAGGTTAATTTGTGGTGAGCTGCGGCTTGATGGAAACATCGACTCTGTCATGCTTAGGCTGCACATTTCAAAGCAGTCAAATGACAGTGGCCTCAAATAGCAGTCCAGGAGCTTCCCCGGCAGCAGCTGTGACTGCGTGGGCGGCCTTGGCTGTGACCGCCCGCCCTAGGTCACCCTGACGTGTTCCTGTGTTTGCTGTTTCACCATCAGAGCACACAGTGGCCACGGCATGCCACCTGGATTCATGGCGGAGGCCGTCTGACCCTCAGAGATGAAGGACCATTGCATAGGCTCATTTCTTCTCCACCTGAACTGGGGCCGAAGCACTGAACGCCTCTTGCCCATACGTGGACTAGTCGAGGCAAGGGACTATAAGAAATGATCTCCAGAAACGGAAGTTTGTCTTGAAACAGGACTCAGTAATTCTGAAACCCAACAGGCCAGGCCAGTGGCCCCGAAGTTCTAGGAGAAGAGCTGATAGACTGGGAGATTGCCCTGCAGCATGTAAACAACAGGTCTCCTCTGCCCCTGGGGGGAGATAATTCCCAGTCTTATGCAGCTCACCCTTGCTGACTTCTTACAGTGGTTTTGAGTGGTTGTGATATGCTCAGTCCCTAGCTGACTTAGAGAAGAGAGGGTGCTGGTTGCTTGTCTCTGGACCTCTCCCCTGAGATGCACAGTCTCATTTTCCATGGCCCAGTAGTTCTGAAAGGAAGGGGGGGAAATGTCCAGATCTGCCAATGCATTAAGCATGTCACAGATCTATATATACAATAGGTACAACATTTAAAAGACATTAAGTAGGTCTCTTATCTAATCCGACTGTCTTCCCCAAAATAACCTCTCTTAACTTTTATTTACTCCTATGATATAATGCTATTTATGAATCTAGACACACTCTAATTATCTTTATACTGGCACATATGATAATATAATACATTATGCATTCCACAGGAATCTAGAGCCTACTTCTCTCCAGAAGTGACTGTGCTACCCAGCCTTGGCTTATCAGTGCCCAGCTACCAAAGGCCAAGGCTGATCCGGTTTATTCCCACCCCCAGCCCCTCCACCAACCTCTTTAGACAACTTGTTGTATCTCACTCAGGAGCTACCCTTTGGTAAAAATCATCGGGGCCACAGAAGAAAGAAGACTCTGATTCATTAGCTCTGAGGCAGGGGCTGAAAATTCTCGTTCCCAACAGATTCTCAGGCGGTCCAGGAGCTAGCTGCACTTTGAAGCTAAGGGCTACAGTGAGGAGCCAGCGATGTCTCCAGTCTAACCATTTGGGGATTTCATGTGAACGCTGAGACCTGCGCTGTGTGTCAATGCTAGTGTGTCTCCACTGTACAAAACAAAGAGAAGTGATGTTTTTTTTTTATCAGAAAAAGTATAACACATCCATTCGTGCTTAGAAATACAGTTCCGCTTCTTGCCTTGATCGGTTGTGAGAAGAAACCTGTGGAGAACTGGTCCCAAAGAGTTGCACTGTAGGCTGGGCATCTAGATAAATTGGTCGAGTGCTTGCCTAGTACGAACGAAGCCCCGATGTCCATTACTGCATAAACCAAGTGTGTCGGCCCATGCCTGCAATCCCAGCGCTCAGGATACAGGGGCAGGAAGTTCAGGAGTTCAAGTTTATCCTCAGTCATATAGTGAATTTGAAGCCAGCTTGGGATACAGAAAACCCTGTCTTGAAATAAATAAATAAAAAGTAAAGTCAAACATTTGATCAATGCTATCAAAAAAGTCCTTTTTCTTTAGGGGGACTCTCGGCTCTCTGTTGTCTGTGGAAAACAGCATCCAGCATACCGCTGTTTCTACCCAGCTAGTGGCTTTGAGTGAGGAACGAGTTTGCCCCGACAGACAATAAGCTTGATGTACCTTGTTATCCCTTCATAGCTGGGTGGCATGGTGGCAAAACCTGGGGACAGTGTGCTATTTTCTTGGGAGTCATAAAAATAAGTAAGTTTCTTTTGTGATCAACTACTCTTTCGGTTTTCTTTTGAAGTGAATTCTTTTCTTATCCTTTCTCAGAACTCATGCCCCAGTCTAGTTTGAATGGCATTAAAGATTTCCTTTGCTGTCTCCCATCCAGAGGAGGCATTGAAGGGCCTTCCTCAAACTCCAGTATCGTTTATTGAATCAGAAAAATGATTTCTTCTGTGAAGCAATTTCATGCCTTGTTATCTCCAATATGTCTGTGAAATGGAAGGTTGCATGACCTCACCTGAGAGTGTCTGTTATTGCAGAGATGGAAAAGTGAAATTTTGATAAAAGACTCACCAAGCCTATGCCGGCATCCGTTTGGAGTCCCATGCCTGGAAGAGCATCATGGGGTATTTGTATTAAAGCCGTGCAAGAGAACTTGTGACCTCACGGAACACTCATTTCAATATGCCAATAGGTAATAATGGATCATAAATGATTAAAAGTTTCACTGTTTTTAGAAAAAAAAAATAACAAAGACAGCTGGCTGGATTTTCTCTGGCATTTTTTTTTTAAGATTTATTTATTTATTATGTACACAGAAGAGGGCACCAGGTCTCATTACAGATGGTTGTAAGCCACCATGTGGTTACTGGGAATTGAACTCAGGACCTCTGGAAGAATAGTCAGTGCTCTTAACCTCTGAGCCACCTCTCCAGCCCCCTTCTCTGGCATTTTTGTGCACTGTCATACTGTATTTTATACATGGGACTTCTAACAGAAGGCTGGTCTAAAGCATCCTGCAGAACTCTTATCCGATCTCTTCATCATCTTATTGTTAGGCTTAGAATGCAGCCTGAAGACTTAATAATTTAAAATGTACTATCTCCTCGGGGCTGTAGAGAAGAGTATGTATTACTCTTGCAGAAAACCTGGGTTCAGTTCCCAGCACCCCCAAGGTAGTTCACAACAATCCTAAGTCTAGTACCAGGGGGTCTGATGACCTCTTCTGGCCTCTGTGTGCACTGTAGGCATGTAGTGCTCAGATACACATTCAGACAAAACACTCATGCACATAAAATAAACACATCTTAAAAAAAATTTAAATTTAAATTCCATCTCCTCTGTAAGTGTGGGTCCATATTTGCTTTTTAAGATTTATACGATTAGCTTAAGAAAAAGGACTTTGAGAGCCTCTCCTAACTTTTTTCATACACCCTCAACTGTCCTTGGCAGTCACAGAGAGACAAATTGCATCTTGAAATCGGAATAGATCCGTTGTAGCATGGACCATTTTCATCCATTAGCAATGGAAATGGCTGCGGGCAGCAGGTTAGGGGAGGGTGTCTTTTGGCCTCATGATATTTTTTCCCAACAATTCTTCCTTGAGTATTTGCTGTGTTCCAGGCCAGGATGGTAAGTTTTCAGTCTGTAACGAATCCAGTCATACTGAGCTCTAACTTCATGGAGTGAGCCATTTAATTTCTTTGGACTTGACTTGAAAAATGGAGCTCATTCTTAATCTAGGATTGCTGTTATAATCAGGCATATTGAAAAAGAATTAAGATGTTAGTCCCTGAGTTCTTTAGGTCAGCGTGGTCACACAGCCTTGAATTTTCTAACATCGGCACTTTGGCATGTGATCTGTCTCCGTTCGCTTCTCTGGGGGCGGGGGCCCTCCCTTTGCCCTTTGTCTTATTATGACAGTTGCATTGCCCTCTCCAAAGAAGATCCCATTTTCCTGATTGCTCAACAATGCTGGGTTCTTTCCCTCTCTACAAAGTGCACTTTGACGGACAGGCTGAAGAAGAAATGACAGAGACGTTTCATAGGAACTTCGAAGGAGGAGAATGATGATTGATCAGAGATCATTGGGGTCGGGGGGAGCAAAGGTAATTTTCTGCATGAAATACAGAGCACAAACCAGATACTTAAAATAGCAACCTAGCATGCCGTTTTCATGGGACATCTCTGTCATTTCCTAGAGTCAGAAATAAACAGAGATCAGTTTGGGAGCTGGGCGAGTGGCCAGCCTTGTCGTTGGTGGATCGGAATGATGAAGGGTCACGCTTGAGTGAGGGTGCCCGCCGGCGAGAAGCCGCATTCTCTAGAGCATGCAGGAGCGGGGGAGACTGGAAAACAATCAGGCCAGGCTTCCGAGAGCATCTTGGCTGCGTGTGTAGACAGAGACCTCGGTGTGCTTTAAAGCTTCCTGACGCTTCGCACTCTCCCGGATCCTCCTTTGGTTTTGTTTTATGGCTCATTGTACAGATTTTGTGTCTGATCCTGTTGACCAAAGGAGCCACCCCAAGCTACTACCTTTCTAATGTTCGGGGAAATCTATGTTTCTTTGGT